CATTTAAAATAGCACCCAAATCATACTTAGGTGTAGAAATACCTAGATAGACATTTAACAAAATGTGTGCAAGACTTGTATGCTGAAAACCACAAAGCACATTGGTGAGAGAAACCATAGAATAAATAAACAAATGAAGGGTAAGATTGTGTCCATGCATTGGAAGACTCAGTAGTGTTAAGATGCCTAATTCCCTCAAAATTGAGCTATAGATTCAATGGAATTACAATCAAAGGCCTGGCAGGCAATTTTTTTCAGGTGATATGTGTGTGTGTGTGTATGTAATGAATTGACAAGCTGATTCTGAAATTTATGTGGGAAAGTAACTAGAACAGCCAATGCCAGTTCTTTTCGAAAAAGAGGAACATAGTTGGATTACTCACACTGTCTGACTTCAGAACTTGTTATAAAGCTACAATGAGTGGTCCAGTGGTGTGGTGCTGGTGTAAAGAGACATTTAGGTCAATGGAATAGAATGGGCATGTCAAGAAATAGACCTAGCCCCATTTACAATTGCACCCAAAACCATAAGATACCTAGGAATAAATTTAACCAAAGAGGCAAAGGATCTGTACTCAGAAAACTATAAAATACTCAGGAAAGAAATTGAAGAAGACACAAAGAAATGGAAAAACGTTCCATGCTCATGGATTGGAAGAACAAACATTGTGAAGATGTCAGTGCTACCTAGAGCAATCTACACATTCAATGCAATCCCCATCAAAATACCATCCACTTTTTTCAAAGAAATGGAACAAATAATCCTAAAATTTGTATGGAACCAGAAGAGACCCCAAATAGCCAGAGGAATGTTGAAAAAGAAAAGCAAAGCTGGCGGCATCACAATTCCAGACTTCCAGCTCTATTACAAAGCTGTCATCATCAAGACAGTATGGTACTGGCACAAAGACAGACACATAGATCAATGGAACAGAATAGAGAGCCCAGAAAGGGACCCTCAACTCTATGGTCAACTCATCTTTGACAAAGCAGGAAAGAATGTCCAATGGAAAAAAGACAGTCTCTTCTACAAATGGGGTTGGGAAAATTGCACAGCCACATGCAGAAGAATGAAACTGGACCATTTCCTTACACCACACACAAAAATAGACTCCAAATGGTTGAAAGACCTACATGTGAGACAGGAGTCCATCAAAATCCTAAAGGAGAACACAGGCAGCAAACTCTTCAACCTCAGCCGCAGCAACTTCTTCCTAGAAACATCACCAAAGGCACGGGAAGCCAGGGCAAAAATGAACTCTTGGGATTTCATCAAGATCAAAAGCTTTTGCACAGCAAAAGAAACAGTCCACAAAACCAAAAGACAACTGACAGAATGGGAGAAAATATTTGCAAATGACATATCAGATAAAGGGCTAGTATCCAAAATCTATAAAGAACTTATCAAACTCAACACCCAAAGAACAAATAATCCAATCAAGAAATGGGCAGACGACGTGAACAGACAGTTTTCCAAAGAAGACATCCCAATGGCCAACAGACACATGAAAAAGTGCTCAACATCGCTCGGCATCAGGGAAATCCAAATCAAAACCTCAATGAGATACCACCTCACACCCGTCAGAATGGCTAAAATTAACAAGTCAGGAAGCAACAGATGTTGGTGGGGATGTGGAGAAAGGGGAACCCTCCTACACTGTTGGTGGGAATGCAAGCTGGTTCAACCACTCTGGAAAACAGTATGGAGGTTCCTCAAACAGTTGAAAATAGAGCTACCATACGATCCAGCAATTGCACTACTGGGTATTTACCCCAAAGATACAAATGTAGGGACCTGAAGGGGTACGTGTACCAATGTCCACAATAGCCAAACTGTGGAAAGAGCCAAGATGTCCATCGACAGATGAATGGATAAAGAAGAGGTGGTATATATACACAATGGAATATTATGCAGCCATCAAAAGGAATGAGATCTTGCCATTTGCAATGACGAGGATGGAACTGGAGGGTGTTATGCTGAGTGAAATAAGTCAATCAGAGAAAGACATGTATCATATGACCTCACTGATAGGAGGAATTCTTAATCTCAGGAAAGAAACTGAGTGTTCCTGGAGTGGTTGGGGGTGGGAGGGATGGGGTGGCTGGGTGATAGATATTGGGGAGGTTATGTGCTATGGTGAGCGCTGTGAATTGTGCAAGACTGTTGAATCACAGATCTGTACTTCTGAAACAAATAATGCAACATATGTTAAGAAAAAAGAAAAAGAAGAAGATAGCAGAAGGGGAAGAATGAAGGGGAGTAAGTCGGAGGGGGAGATGAACCATGAGAGACGATGGACTCTGAAAAACAAACTGAGGGTTCTAGAGGGGAGGAGGGTGGGGGGATGGGTTAGCCTGGTGATGGGTATTAAAGAGGGCACATTCTGCGTGGAGCACTGGGTATTATGCACAAACAATGAATCATGGAACACTATAGAACTAATGATGTAATGTATGGTGATTAACATAACAATAAAAAATTTTAAAAAAAGAAATAGACCTAGCTGTCAATCGATTTTTGACAAAAAGACCAGGCCAATTCAATGCAGAAAGGATAGTTTTCTCAGTAAACAATGCTGGTAAAATTGGATATCCAGAGGCAAACAAACCACAAATCATATCTCACAGCACAAGCAAAAATTAACTGAAAATGTATCATAGACCAAAATTTAGAATCTAACTCTATAAAACTTCTAACAGAAAATATTGGAGAAAATCTTTGTGCCTTCGAGGTAGGAAAAATACTCTTAGCAGGACACAAAAAGCACAAATCATAAATTAAAAATCAGTACATTGGACTTCATCAGCATTAAAGTCTTCTACTCTTTAAAAAACACTATCAAGGGAAACATAAAACAACTTACAGACTGGAAGACAACATTTTCAGATCACATCTCTGAGAAAGGAATTGTATCCAGAATATATAAAGAATTCTTACAACTCAATAATGATGGTAATAATAATCAATGATAAAAAATAGACAAAGATGTGGATTCATACTTTGCCAAAAAGAGGTATATAGGTGGCAAGTAAACAATGAAAGATGTTCAACATGGTTAGTTATTATGAAAATAGAATTAAAAGAATAATGAGATACTGTCACAAACTTATTAGAATGGCTTTGCCAAACCCTGCCAATATCAAGTCTTGACTAGGATGCAAAAATGATACAGCTATTTTGCAACACAGTGTGGCAGCTTTTTTCAAGTTAGACACATACCACACAATCCAGCACTACCACTCTTTAGATTTTAGCCAAAGGAAATGAAGCATATGATCATACAAAATATATGTACATGAATGCTTATGGTGGCCTTTTCCATAATTGCCCCCAACTTGAAACCACTCAAATGTTCATCAGCTGGTGAATGGATAAAGTATGTGTGGTTCAACTATGCAATGACATATATTCAGCAATAACAAGAAATGAATTACTCAGAAGTGTAACTTCATGTGTGCTGAATACATTTTGATAAGTGAAAGAAACGAAACTCAGGGCTACATACCATATGGTTCTGGGAAAAAGACATTCTAGAAAGGGCAGGAAGCTGTAGGAACAGAAGGAAGAGCAATGGTCGCCAGGACCTGAGTTGGAGAGGAAGAGATTGGCTAACAGGGGCACGAGGGAACTTTTTTGGGGGCTGATATAAGTGTTCTGTATTTTGCTTGTGGTAGTTGTTACAGAGATATATGAGTTTGTCAAAATTCATAGAAGTAGACACCCAATGGGGTGAATTTTTGTGTATGTAAATGATATGCCAATAATCCTGGGTTTATAAAAAAGACCATAGAAGGGTGCCTATAGAGTGATTTTCAGGTGGCCTCAGACCCTTCTTTTCTTGAGCCATTAGGTCAAGACTGGGCATTTGATTTCTAAGTGAAGGACTGTCTTATGTTTATCATTAACCACCATCTCCAAACACATTCCCTGTACATATGGTAAATGCACAATACATAAGGGTAAAGTGAATAAAAACAAATCAGTGAGCTCTTGCAAGGAACCAAAGTAGACTGATAATCTGTGGGTCCCTGTGGGCTCTTTCAGCTTCTCCAGTTACTTCCCCCAGCACGACCCGACTTCCCGCCCCTGGGAATGACCCACCTCCGCAACCCCATCCCTGATTCACCAACGAGCCATTTCACACTTTGCCTTTGCCCATGCAAGTCCCTGTGCCTGGATCACCCTTCAAGGGCCCACACCTGTGGGGAAAGCACCCGCCCCGGAACTCCAGCAAATGTCACGTCCTGTATTGTCCCATAGGTGTGTGTGTGCACAAAATAATGCCCGTGTGAGCATGTGCACATAGGAGGTATCCAGCTGTGCAAGGGAGGATAAACTTGGGCAGGAGATTGCAGGTGGAAGAGAAAATTCTCCCTCTCGTGGAGAGCCCATCTTCCCCTCCCCTGCTAACTAGGATAATAGTACTAGTTAGGCTCTATTCTAAAGCACTTTGCCTGTGGAAGTCCATGTTACCCTCCCAATAACTCTACACACTATTATTATTCCCATTTTATAGATGTAAGAACTGAGACACAGAGAGGTTATGGATGAGTGGTTGCACACACAGGAATTGAGGAAGGAGGAACTTGAAGTCCGATGCTGCCACACTACAGGGATGCTGGCCTGGAGGGAAGGACTAAGAGGGGCTGGTTGAGGGCCCAGCAGTTCCCTATCCCTTGCAAGGCTGGAACCAGAGTGTGGCAGGTGCTGTGAGTGGGTGAGTGGCAGGAGGAGGGTCTGAACACAGCAGTGAGGACTGTGCCTTGGACATTGACCAGCCCCAGCCATGCAGGATCACTCTGGCCGGCAGGGGCAGTAGGACGGGCTGAACTCTCGGAGGTATGGGATCCCCAGCCTCCGGCTGCTGGGAGGCAGTGGCTGGCTCCTCCTCTCCCTTCCTCCCCACCCCCCCAAAACCCCTCCCTAAATCATGAAGCCAGACCCCAGTCCTATTTCTCAATCCCCAGGAGCCCAGTTCCTGTGGGCAGCACTTGACGTGCCTGAACCCTCTCTTTTCTGCAATTCAAGGGAAAGACGAGATCTTCTTGCACAAGGTACCCTGCGTTTGCCCTCCACCAGGGAAAGCAGGCATGGAGCTTCTCCGGCTGCTTATCCTGCTCGCCGTCACAGGTAGGACCCCATCCCTCCGCTGCCCCTGCCGTCTCTCCTTCCCCTCCTTGAGTATATGGCGGGCGGGTGGGTGGGGAGCCCTGGGCTGAACTATAAAGGCGGTTAAAATCCGCAGCATGTTCTGCACCCCTCTTTTCCCCACCCGCCCCACATTCTTTATGCTCTCCCTCCCTCTCCACTGTGAGGGCCCACTGTCAGACTCTTCATACAGGTGGAATTATAAGGGGCTGGTGGATTCTGGCCACACGGAAAAGGAAGGAATTCTGATAGTGACATCTCAGGCACTAGCTAGCAGCTGGGGGAAGTTTTGAGGGGCATGGATAAGAGCCCCTAAAATTATGAACCGCTAGCCCCAGAAGGATGGCAGTGTGGGAGGGAAGAAACCCACAACCAAGCATGTGCATCTTCGGGGTGCCTCTTCTGCTGATGTGAGGGTCCTCTTGTCCTCTGCCCTGGAAGGGAGGTAAGGGGGCTGAAGATTTCTGTCACTGAGTTGGAGAGCTGACACCCCAGATTCTTGCACACAACTACCTCCTTTTATTGGGGGAAGGTGCCTCTTGTTCCTTTAGAGCAATAGGCAAGCCTGGTGAGAGGAGAGGCTGTTACAGCGGAGCCCTGATCCTGAGGCTTCTTACCTAGGAGTGGAGTGGGGGGAAGGTGGGGGGCTGCCTGGAGGCAGAGGGATGGACAGGGTGACAAGTGGAGGGAGCACTGCTTCCTAAAGGCAGGCCACTCACTCCCTGATTTTGTCTTCCAAGTTTCTGTCACCATATGGTTGAAGACAGGGTAAGGGAGGACCAAGAGAGGGAAAGTTGAGGCAGAGGGCTCCAGGTGATTCTTCTGAGCTTCTGCCCTGGCAATAGATTGCACTCTAAGCCTGTCTCCCCTGCCCCAAGAAAGGTCCCCAAAATAGCAGCCTCATGTCTCCCCCAAAATAGCTCTGAGATGAGTCTCTCCTGAAAGGGGAACAAAGCCACAGAAATAGGGAAGCCGGGAGCCAAAGGTCAGAAGGAGAAGATGCAGAGCCAGTGTGGGCGTGGGCAGCTGCAGAGTAAGCATGAATGGCCAAGGCCGGGAGATGGTATCCAGCCCAAGCTGAGGGGCCACTGGCCCTGCTCGCTTGAGATGGAGAGGGTCCCTTATGATAGGGAGAAAATGTGTAGAATAGAACTGGAGGGAACTTCAAGACCAATGTCTCTGGAAATAGGCCCAGAGACGGTCAGTTACTTCTTTAAAAATGCCCAGCAAGTCCAACGGTGTTAAAGCCAGACCTAGGACCTGGGTGTCACGGTGGGCTGTGCACCTTCTCCCAACTTACATAAGAACTTGAGCTCCTTAAGGGCAAGATTTCTATCTCTTTGGTCATTGCACACAGTGGACATTTGAGAAACATTTGGTAAATGAACAAAAAGTGAAGGAAGGTCTCCTCCCCAGAGCTGTCCGGAGCCCACAACACGACGGTGTTCCAGGGCATGGCAGGCCAGTCCCTGCAGGTCTCCTGCCCCTACAACTCCTTGAAGCACTGGGGAAGACGCAAAGCCTGGTGCCGCCAGCTGGATGAAGGGGGCCCGTGCCAGCGGGTCGTTAGCACCCACCGCTCATGGATTCTGTCCTTCCTAACGAGGCGGAATGGGAGCACGGCCATTGTGGATGACGCCCTGGGTGGCACTCTCACTATCACGCTGCGGAATCTTCAAGCCCACGATGCTGGCCTCTACCAGTGCCAGAGTCTGTACCGGGATGAGGCCGACACCCTCAGGAAGGTCCTGGTGGAGGTGCTGGCTGGTGAGTGTGTGGCGGACTGCACCGCTGGCCCACCCCTGGGCTGGGACTAGGTCCCTGATGTCTGGGAACACCCACCGTGTGGCTCTTGCCCTCCCACTCAGGGCCACGGTGGATGGCCGTGCGGGTTGCTCACTGCACATGGGGGCCACACTCCAGCCCTGGTGCCTCTCTCCAGGCTGCGCTCCCTGGGGCAGGACCGCATCCCTGGCAGGAAGGGTCCTGGCCTCTCATTTGCACAAAGCACCGAATGAGCTGGCTGTGGTCCTGCCTCTCCAAACAGCTTTATCCATTTGGCATCCAGTTGGGATGTGAACACCTAAAGTGGCCCTTAAGGAGTAGGAGGAGGTTCATTTGCTCCCTCACCCAATTACCCAAAGGACCTGCCAACAAAGTAAGCACCAACCTGGTGCAGAAAACAACCTGAGGAAGGGGCACTGCTTGTGACCCCAGGTGATGTGCTTGCCTCTCTGGGCCTCCACATCCTCATCTTTAAATGGAGATGATGATGTTTGTCCTGCTGCCCCCACAGGGCTCCTGTGAGGCACCCATGAGGCGACAGGGTTAAAAGTGCTTGGGGGTAAGTGACAGCCCATGCCCCAGCCTCCCGCTGCTGAGCTGACCTGGGGTCTTCATTCCAGGCTTGCCAGGCAGCGGGGTCCTCCCCACCCCTGACCTTGGCACAGGGAAGCCCTTCAGGGAAGACTTCTGCCTGTGTCTCCAGACCACCGTGTGTCCCCATGGAGAAGAAATCTGGGGGTACGAGTCCTCTTTCTGACTCTCCCCCTTCCCCACCTCCTCCCCTACAACATGGCCCCTTATGGTGGAAATGAGCCATTTGTCTAAGGTCTAAGGTGGGGAGCGGAGGGGAGATGGCTTGCCCTAGACCCAAACCCCACGTCCATCACTCTGTTATGTGCTGGGAAGGGGGAGAATGGGGTGAAGGGACACAAATTTTCAGCCCTATCAGGGTCTAAGCCTCAGCCAACTCCCAAGGGGGTGGCAGGAAAATAATATAAAATAATAATAATAATAAAAATAATAATAATAATCCATAGCTGGTGTAGACAGCCTGACAGTTCATGCAGAACTTTCAAATACATCCATTCATCCACTTGACCTTCCCAAAGACCCTGTGTAATGGGAGGGTGAGAGTTACCAAGCTCCAATGAGGTGCTAAGCACTATACAGGATGCTCTCCCTGAATCCTGCAACACTACTATAAAGGAGGTGTTTCTATTCGACCCACTTTACAGGTTGAGGAGACTGAGGCTCAGAGAGGCTAATGACCCAATCTGCTCTGGGCCAGAGCCCAGGGGGCCTCACCATACCCAGATGCGTTCTCCCCACTGCAGCCAGCTGCCTCGAGGAGGGACTAGAAGCTCACAGGCTCTGTCTCCCACAGACCCCCTTGATCACCTGGACCCTGGAGATCTCTGGATCCCCGAAGAGTCCAAAGGCTTCAAGGACATCCATGTGGAGCCCAGCATCTCCAGGTATAGAGACAGGTCTCTGCTAAAGCCGGGGCATGGGATGGAGGCTGGGGTCCTAGAACTAACTACAGATTTGAAGACAATTAGAGCATGATAGGTCCTGGAGATGATTTGTCTGAACACCCCTCCAACCAGCCACTGTGTGTTGGTATGGCCATGCCAGTTGTTAAAATATTGAAATTCTCTTTTTTTATACATAACTGCTGCTCCAAGCCTGCTGAATGCTCAGCCTCCCATTCCTCCCCCGGCAGCCCTTGGACAGTCCACAGTTTAGCAACAATACAAGTTTAAGTGTAAGACTGGGACCCCTAGCAGATACCTGCTCCTTTGGTAGGACCAGAATCAGCTCTGATTGGTTCATGCCTGTGTACTGGTGTTGAAATATTGTTAATGTAACCACAGAGTACACATGTGCAGCCCCCCACTATACCATCACGAACAACAGCAGGTAACTGCTCCGCAAGGGAAGTGTTTAAATGCGTTCAGCAGGTGGATCCTGATTACAGGCTCCCCCAAGCCCACAAAGCCTCGTGGTGCTGGGTGGGGAGTTATTCTAGGTCCCTGAGAGCTCCCAGTGTCTCCCTGTTCCTTCTCCGAGGGCAGGGTTCAGTGTGCGGGCCACCCCAAGGCCTCCCTCATGTCCTCCTTGTGTCTCCAAGGAGTCTCTCCAAAGAGGACATGCCCTTCCCACCCACTTCGATCCTTTTCCTCCTGGCCTGCATCTTTCTCAGCAAGTTTCTAGCAGCCGGTGCCCTTTGGGCTGTGGCCTGGCGTGGGCAGAAACTGGGGACACCCCTGGCCAGTGAGCCGCACTGTGGCCACGACCCAGGTTACCAGCTCCAGACCCTAACAGGTGAGCATGAGGAGCACAGCAGTGGCTGGGGGTGGACTGCGCAGGGGTGGCGAGGTGGGGCTCAGAGGAGCCATGTGAGCTTCGGTCAGTTGCAGAGCGGAGAGACACATGAGAGAAGAGGACCCCCGATGGGACGAGGCCCAGGAGAGGCCTGCTTGAACCACCCCAGCCTGCACACTGGCCCCTTGGCCACTATGACTTCTGGCTCTGCTTTGGCAAAAGGGCAGCCTGCCCATCCTCTGCTTCCCCTGGTCCAGGAAACAGAAGGGTGTGTGTGGGGGGAAAAGGAGGAGAACATTTGTCAACTTCTATACACTGGGCATTAAATACTCTCCCAAATAAATCCAAGACTTCATGTTTAATAGGATGGTTTGGGGCTTTGGGAAGGCCTCTCTCTTGCTCCAGGGCTAGGAGAATGAATTTGGCCGAGGACGAGATAAAAGTTCTGACCCCTTGGGGCCTCAGGTCTTAGGCTATTGCATCCAGCCATTCTCGAAGTCTCCACGCCACCCATCTTTGTCTTCTTCTGGCTCCCTTCCCTAGATCTAATTACTGAATCCTGCCTCCTCCTCTGGGATTTCTCTAGCACCCAGTCTGGCTCCCTTCTCCTCCACTTGCCTCCTGCCCCTCAGGAGCATTATTCTAGGATTATTGCTGCCCACCCCTGCCCCAGTCCATCCCAGCTGACTCATACACTCCCTTCCCCAGAGCTTTGCTTTCCTCCTGTTACTTCCCCTACGGGCGAACAACCACAACTTGACTTATATAGTGCAGCATACCAGAGCCGGGAACCACTGGTCTGAGCTTCTCACTACACAGAAGGGAAACTGAGGCTCAAAAGGGAATGATGTCACCCCAAGTCCCCAGCAGAGCTTGGAAGTGCAAATTTCACTTGGTGTTCAAGTTGCCCTTCCCTCTAGCTCAAGCCTACTCATTTATTCATTTATTTATTCAACAGATATTTTTTGTGCCAGATACCATTCTAGGTGCCGGAGACACAACAGTGAACAAAACGGGCCAAGATTCCTGCCCACACAGAGCCACGAACTAGTGGGAGGGGAGGAAGACAGACACAATAAACGTCAGCCAGATGGTGTGTTAAAAGATAAAGAGCTGAGGGGGAGCCTGGGTGGCTCAGTCGGTTAGGCATCTGCCTTCAGCTCAGGCCATGATCCCAGGGTCCTGGGATTGAGCCCTGCATCGGACTCCCTGCTCTGTGGGGAGCCTGCTTCTCCCTCTGCCTGCCCCTCCCCCTGCTTGTGATCTCTCTCTCTCTCTCTAATAAAATCTAAAAAAAAATAAAAATAAAAAAATAAAGTGCTGAGGAGCAAATGACTAGGCAGACTGGGAGTGCAGAAGGGACAGGATGATGTCATGCTAGAGGGCATCAGAAGGAACCGCTGGAGAAGCCCTGGGAGGAGGTGAGGAAGTGAACCACGAGGATATTGGGACCTGAGGACTGGGGCAGAGGGACAGCCAGGGTGGCTCAGGAACTTCATCTCTCCCCCGAGCACAACACACCACCGCAGCCACGAGTGAGAGGGAGGGGATGGAGACTTGCCCAGGGAGGGCTGCAGGAAGAGGAGGAAATGAGGCACTCCCATCTTTGGCCTTGGCAAGGTGGAAGCCCAGGAGCCCCTGTGGCCAGGGCTTTGCCCCCTACAATGGGCATGGGCTCCTGGGGTTTGGGATCCTGTGGAAGGACCCCCGATGCAGCCCTCATGTCCAGCCTCATGTCTACACATCACTCCCCGGAAACAGCCCAGCCCAGCCCTGCCCACTACCCAGAGAGGCTGTCGCACTGGCCCTGTCCCCAGCTCCGGGATGCTGGTCCAGGCTATGCGTCCCAGGTCCTCAGACTCAGCGGCATGTCAAGCTTCCTCATCAGGTCCTGGGCCCCCATCTCCTTCCCGCAGACCTGAGGCACAGTCTGGCAGCCAGGGGTGAGCCTGTCCACCTGCTAGCACCACGGCCGACAAGATGGCAGGGGACGGTCCCCCGTGTGAGGCACTGGAGAGCGCCTGCTGCTTGCCTGCTCTTGAGAGCTTGGCCTTTTCTCTTTCTTCCTCTGCCACATTTTGACGTCCCCCTCAGGGTTTGGATCGCCACTGGGATCCCCTGCCTTGGACTCTCTGGGGCACACATGGGACTGAAGGGGGTCAGGTAATTTAGCTCCAAATTTGCCCCCTACTCAGAAACCTGAAGCAAGTTCCTTAACCCCTCTGAACCTCACCTATTAAAAAACAAAACAAACAAACAAATCAACCCTGTTTTTGCTGGGGTTTTATGGGGTTGAAAGAAATACCATCAGTGAAAGTCCCAGGCCAGATGTTTGGTGCAGAGCAGGTCCCAGATGAACACTGGCTTCCTTCCTCTTCTCTAATACCCACAATCTGACACCTCCCTGCAACCTGGTCACGTGCAAAGGGGTGGACTGTACCTGTTTCAGACACTTGGTTACATATTGAGGACAGGTCTCCTCTTCACGGCCCATTAGTGTAATAGCTTTCTCGTAAGGAAATTGAAGAAAACCTGATGCATATTGGCAGGACAAATATAAGCACTTCCACGTCACCCACGAGGCTTACCCACCTGTCCAGTTTGCCCAACACTTTGCCCATGTAGCACCAAAAGTCTCATGCCCCCAGGAAAATTCACAGCACCAGGCAGACGGGACAGCTGGTCACCCTCTCACCACTTCCAGCTTCACACACTGTCTGGCTTTCTTGGGCTCCTGTTCCCAGTCCCCATTGGTAGCTCCCTTGCTCCTGAAGGAAGGAGAGAGGCAGAGGGAGAGGGAAGGAGGAGAGAGCGGAGGGGAGAGGAAGGGGGGAGGGTGGTTTCTTTAGCCCATTTCTAGGTGTGATGTCTAGGTCAGGGGCAGCATGCCCCTTTCAGCCATCCCCACCTTGCCCGCCCTTGTCTTTCTGAACACCACTGCCCCAGGTTAGGAGGTTTATCACCCACATTTGGTGCAGGGTCCCCAAACCCCAGTTTTGCACAGGGCAATGTGAATGGGGGCCAGATGTTTTCTGTGCCAGCAGTGGGCTTGTGTCACGGGAGAGGAATCTCCAAGGATGAGGCTTGGAGTTTATATACAGCATCAGCCCATCTTCCTGTCTTGGGAGAGAGACACCTTTACTCTGGAAGGTAAACAGCTCTTCTCGAGGGAGGGGGTCGATCTGCCTAAGCAAGTCCCTCTGGAGCTGATACACTCTCTCTAGCGTTCAAGGCATGTTTGCTATTCAGTCACGCTAGATCAAAGCTTGATCAGTGCCCAGACCATGCAGATATGTGAAAATATGCACGGAGAATTGTCTCCCAACAGACAGGCTAGTATATTCTTGAAACAAATATAATATGCTATAAGAAATATCTGGAGAATAAGAAACCTTATATTTGTAAAATTTTATATTTGTAAATTGAAAATACTAAGGAACTAAACACAAGACAATAATAGAAGGGATGGAAGAAAAAGATGAGGGTGTCTTCTTGAAATCAGAACAAAATGGACAAAAAGATGGAAAACAAGAGAGGAAAGATAGGAAAATGAGATGAATCCATGAGGTTCAGTATCCAACTAGTTAAGGAGTTCCAGAAAATGGGGGAAGAGGAAATGGGGCGTCATTATCAAAGGATGGATGCAGTTGCCAGAACTGGAGAACATGGGTGCACGCTGCCAAGTCTTGAGAGCACCCGGCACAGTGAATGAAGGTGGGTTCCATCCAGGGCACCTCAGAGTGGGGCCTCCTGCTGTGAGGTCGTGCAGCAGGACCGGACAGTCTCCTGAGAGCTCAGGCCTGTGTGCTCTGCCACCTTCCTCCTTCACACTTCTGCATCCTCCAATTTGATCTTTGGAAGACCCTGAGGATTCTCTTCCCTCTCTCTCTATTGCTTTCCAGTTACTGGGATCCTCCTCCCACCTCATCCCTTAGCTGGGCCCCAGGAGCCCAGGTTCTGCCTGTCCTTGGGCCTTCTCACCCTGCCTCGCCCACCCCTACTGACCCTCATGGTCAACTTCCCAAGCACTGAATCAACCAGGCTTCGGAAGGGCACCTTATCCCCACCCACAGAGGGGCCCCCAGTGCCTGCCTCCCACCCCATGGCCTCCGAGAGCCCCACGTGACTGTCTGAGGCAGATGTTTCCTGCTCCCTGGGGAATGCTGTGTCAGTGGCCAGGCAAGCCCCAGAGCCGACATCTGCCTGACCTGCCATGGGCCCCAACCTGCTACTGCTGTTGCTCCTGGGACTGGCAGGTAAGGTTAGAAGGAGGTGCACTCGGGGCCCCCTACACTCCGCTCCAGGCCCAGGAATAACCAGCATTATTGAGGCAACAATAACATATGTAGGGCCCAGAAGGTGGACCTCTCCGTGCCTGTGCCCCTGTGGCAGTGGGTGGACTGGAAAGTTCCCGCAGCTCCTGCCCAGCCTTCCCATGTCCTTTCCTTCCCTAGGCCAGGGCTCAGCGGGCACCTTCCCGGAGGTGCTGCAGGCCCCTGTGGGGGGCTCCATTCTGGTGCAGTGCCACTACGGGCTCCAGGACATCAAGGCTCGGAAGGTGTGGTGCCGGGTCTTGCCAGAGGGGTGCCAGACCTTGGTGTCCTCGGCTGTGAATCGCAGAGCCTCTGGGGGTGAGCGCATGTTTCTCACCGACCTGGGGGGTGGCCTGCTCCAGGTGGAGATGATTACCCTGCGGGAGGAGGATGCCGGGGAGTATGGCTGCGTGGTGGAGGGGGCCACGGGGCCCCAGACGGTGCACAGAGTCGCTTTGGATGTGCTCCCTCCAGGTGAGTTCTCCTCGGCTGGCCATTGCCCCTCCCTGCCCCCACCGGCTGCTCTTGGGTCCTTGGAGGATGGGGATCCTTAGCAGGAGGAGGGAGGAGATATTTTTGACAGCTCCCCAGGGACCGGAAACCAAACTGGGTGAGCAGTCTGAGATACAACAGCCAGACAGTGGGTCCCTCCCCCAACCCGCACCAGCGGGTCTCTCCACTGGAAGGCACATTCTCCTTCCTCACCCATGGCCTTGGCCTCCTCCTGCAGCATTTTCAACATACTTGATATTATTTTTTTTTCCCCTTAGAAGCATTTTAAAGTTTTAATTTGGACATAGCAACCTGGAATTCCTTTTTTTTAAAAAATCTTCCAGTTTATTACTCCTGTTATAATGGGTTTGATGGCTTAAAATGACCAAATCCGGGTTTCATTTAATTTTCTCTTCACTGGGCATCTAGTATGTGCCTCACCTTCAAGCAGGGTGCATTTGGTGCCTGAATTACTTCAACTCATTCTGTTTTAAAAAAAAAGAGGAAAATGTCACTAATAGATATCGGTATTGTCAACCCTATTTTGAATATAGAAAGTACTTTATTTTGATAGGCTGTGGTTTTCTCTCACAGGCTACAACTTTCTAATGTCTAAGCATTTATTAAAAGACAATTCTAAAGTAGAAGAAGAAATTTTCCAGAAAAATTGGATGTTGTAAAAAAAAAAATGTTCTGGAAGGAAAATGGCCAGGTTGCCTGCAGAAGTGGAGACTGCACTACCTTTCTTTTATGGATGATGAGTCTTTCATTTTCAGGTCTTTCTCAAGTAATTTGTGCCCAATCCCCAAATCAGGAAATGAAGAAAGGCCTTTTTCCTCTTCTTGGTTTTTCCCCCATTTGTTAATTATGAGGTGGACTAAGTTGTCATTAGAATCCCTCTCATCTCTGGTCCATGATCATCATTTTATGTCATCCTCTGTCCTCCTTCCCCGACACTCTAAGGTCTAGTAACACCAGCTCGTAGGACAGATGCACTGGAGAGAGGGGCAGGTGCTGGGGGCCCAATAGCTGTAGAGGCTGGATGTAGAGGATGCTCAGGCCGGCTGGTGGAGTGTGGCTTTCAGGGAGGATACGAGTGGCTTAGAAGGCACCAGGAGGGCAGGATATAGGCAGGCAAGAGGGGAGAAACAGCATCTCCAGATCCTGGTTTGGCTTAAGGTGGGAGGTAGGAACGATGAGCCTCTGAGAACAAGGAAGACCCCTATCCTGAGAGTCTAGAAGGACTGGCCAGGTTCCCAAGACAGATCCTCAGGCCCAACCCTGAGTCCCACAGCCAGAAGTTGAGCATGTTGCAGGGATGATGGAAGCCTTGTCACAAAACCAAGACTTGGGGTCTGAGCAAGGCTCTCAGCAAGGATCACTT